GCTACCTATAGATTTTAAGATTTCCTCCAAATTTTGCAAAGAGCTTGACATCCTTATACTCAGTTTTCTAAGATTGGTTAATCTACCAACATCTTTCAAATCACAATACTCACTTGAAAGGTAATCTAAGGTTTGTAGATGGCCAAGAGTAGACAGCTCCAGCCTACCCTTTGCTCCGTACCCCCAGGGTAAATATAAATGTCTTAATTGCTTCATCTTCATTATCACATTTGGGATGACCATGTCAATACTCCAAACATGAAAATTAAGAGTTTGCAAGCATACTAAATTACCTAGGGATGGCGGAAACCTTTTTATTGTGCTACCCATCACACTTAGAAACCTTAAGTGTACCATATGTCCAATTTCACTCGGCAACTCAACTTCTACTTGATTAAGATATTCAACCTTCAAAACTCTAAGCATTTTGAAATCCTTCAACGGAGATAGTAATACTTTTTCATTTTTTGCCATCCATTCTTCTAGGCCAACGAATAATAGAGACCTTATGTGCTCATTTGTTTCATCTCTTGAAGAAACCAACCTATCTGCCTTCTCATCCAAGTAAATTTCAAGTCTTCGAATTTTCCCCAATTGTGCTGTCTTGGCCACCACAAAAGAAGTATTTTCTTGCAAAAAATAGTTAATCTGGAGAAAGCTTTCATTTTCTGCCTTTAACAAACACATGTCTCGTACAAGATCATGGATTCGACAATATTTAATTGTCCCAATTGAACCACTTGTTCCCACTTGAACCAAACACCTTTCCACCAACTCACTTAAGCAATCACGTGATATATCCTCCATTGTTTTCTCCGAACCATGTCTTTGTTGTCTCAAGGAGATAAGACCTTCTGCCACCCATAACTTAGTCAATGTGCTTATGTATTCATGAACATTCTCATGCACTCTCTCCCACTCTCTAATTGTGTTTTTTCTTACTAGAACTCCAGCAAGCACAATAATGGCTAATGGCAAGCCTGCACAGTATCGAAGCATCTTCATTCCTAAGTCTCTGTACATTCCCAAGTCTGAAAAATAGGAAGAAAAAAAAAATCAAATACGGACTTGTAGTATGAGCAGTCATAGTGGATATTCCTTGCTCGAATGATTTAAAATTAAAATTCTGAAATCCCAAAATTTACTAATATTCTTTATCTTGTTATAAGTTTGGATTTTATAATACATGCCAAATGGAAAACAATTATAAATTAAATTAAATTGTGTTGGATATTCCTTGCACCAACAGAAAAAACGAATGGGATATTGTTGGATTGAAGAGAAGGCTGGGAAAAGATTTTGAATTAGCTAAAATTGTCCTGATTATTATTTGCAGTTGCGCAAGATAAATTGCCATCCATCTTGCTACCTAACAAATGTGTGACCAAGTAAGGCAGTTTATAAAATTGTAAAGAGTAATCCCAACAATGATTGAAGATAGGGTGAGAAAATACCGATTTCAGCCCTTGCAGGTATTGCTTTCTTCACAAGTAGTTCCCAACTCTCATTCTCATTGAGTGGCTGGAGTTTGTGGAGAAAAACATTTCTATTTGGGAGCGAAGCTACTGCTTGATTGCGTGTAGTAAGCAGTATTGTGCTCTCTGTTTCCACATTTGGAAATGCAACTTTCAAAAGATTCCATGTCTCGATACTCCAAATGTCATCAAGAATCACCAAACATCTCATTTCTTCCATGACACGAAAAAGCTTCTTTGCTATTTCATCATCTGTCATGTCCTTAATTTCTTGTTTTGGTTCCTTGGTAGCAGAAGTGAGTTCAATTAAAATTCTTTCCCAAACATTTCTGACTTGAAAACGTTGAGATACACAGACCCAAGCAAAACTATGAAAATGCTGCCTTACTTTTTTGTGATGATAAAGCTGTCTTGCAAGGGTGGTCTTCCCTAAACCGCCCATCCCCCAAATAGATACAACTTGATGACGATTTTCATCTTTCACTAAATTCATTACCAATCCTTCTACGTTGTTCTCTAACCCAACAACATCACGTTCAACAACATGAGAATAACTTCGCCTAAGTAGTCCTTGCCTCTCATGCAATTGCATGGAAGATTCACCACCACCGCTGTCCCTGTCCCTTATTTCCTTTATGTTATAACTCTGCTAACTCGATCTCAACGCCGAAATTTTGGTAGTGATATTCTCAATTTCTTCCCCAATCCTGTGAACATCAACCCCTTCCTTGAAGATGCAGGCAAATCTTCTCAAAACATTCTTCACACCTCTTTTCTTCTTGGAAACCACTTTCAAGCCATAAGTTTGGATGACATCCTCCAAATCATAAGCAGCATCTCTAATCTTGGCAACCCAAATACGGACTGTTTCATCTTGTCCTTGTCTTGCATCTGCATCTTTGAGGAAGCCTGCATCAATTGTAGCTCAGTTTGTGGGACCTCAACTTGATGGCTGACTCCAGACAAGAACTTGGCTTCCTGAATGGTGAAGTCTATTACACTTTCGAGCACAAAGGAAACAACTGCCTCAGCCATTCTCTCTACTACTCACTCGCTCTTCGCCAAGACGAAAACAACAACTAAACCTCCAGATCTAATTTGCAGATTGATCTAATTTGCAGCCAATTGGTTCAATTTGAACCCAACAAGAACTCATCAACTTTGTCGTTTTCTGACTACCTTGTTCTAAAATATAATGTAATGCAAGATGTAGTAGGTGACACCTTGTTCTAAAATATAATGTAATGCAGGCTGTAGTAGGTGAACCAGAATTAGTTCTAGATTGATTTAGCAATTTCTATCTGTCTAAATAATCGTCCCAACATCTCTCAAAAAATAATAGTCAACATTGGCGTTTGCTGACCACCTTCCTCATCAATTATATATATTTGTGCAACCACTTGTATCGCACACACCAGACAACCTTCAGGAATCTTCAAATAAATTATTTTTCCATAATTGGGGCAAGTTGTATAATTTAATCACTATTTATCTACAGACGTGAGAGAGAATCTGAGGCATAAAAGTGAAGGAACAACTTTTATGATCAACATTCGTTTTCAGGTAGCAACCAATTGAAAAAGTGAATCTATAATGTAGAGGTGAAGCAGCTATTTCCTTTGGTTGCATTTTAACGAGAGCAGGAGAAGTGAAGGTAGGAATCTAGGATTGCCTCAATGCTGTTTGTTTTCTTCAAACGCTCGATGACTTAGAAGTGAAGGTAGGAATCTAGGTAGAACATATACGCATGCAAGTCTCTTCTCTCTGCTCCCAAGTCCCATCCAATAGCCTCCTTTCCTTAGTCTCTTCTGCTTGGTCCAAATTGAAGAGATAGGATTCATGCGAACTCCAGCCTCCTAATTTTATTCAAATATAAAATTATATCATATGGCACATGGTACCAAGTTGAGAATGCTAACCGTGAAATAAACAAAGGCATGATGCACACAGGCTCAAATATTCATAATTGAAAACATACATGAAAGAGGAATACAAGGTTTCATTGAGGAAATTATAATACATACAATAACTTCACTAGACCCAAAAACTTGTAACGAACTTTGAACTACTTGACCACATCTTTGCTCCTCTTGATTTTCACAGAGCATTTCTTTCTTCTCCAGGTAAGTTCAGCTTCGCACGTGCTCGCTCTGCTACAGAGCTTCGACATACTCAGTTCCTTCCTACCTGCAGCTAGCTACCATAACACAAATTCAGCAGTTTACTTGACTTGGACCAAAAAAATAAAAAATAAATAAATCCAATGGTGGTGTATCTTTACAAGCCTTGAAGAAGGATATACTAGGAAATTATTTTTAAAATTTATGGAGACAAATACTTCTTATAAGACTCCCATGGAACTACGAAAACTTGAATTCAGAATGCGATGGAATTATAAATGGTCGATAAACAAGGAAAACTAGATGTAAAGAGGTAATGGTACAACAACAAAAAAGCAAAAAAATATGGAAATTGGGAATTGATAAGGCTCATGAGTCAAGACTCACAAGCAAAAAATGAACAGAGAAAACAAATCAAATATTATTATAAGATATTTGGACTCACAAGCACAAGCGAAAAGCAATAAAAATGGAGAAAGAAAATATAGCTAAACAAGGGAGCCCATATTCTGTTGGCTTTTCTACTTTAATATTCTCTCGCTGCTTCATTTTTTAACTAATCTACACAAACCAAACCACTCATTTCGCTTTAAAATTTAAAAATTAAAAGAAAGAAATTACCTTGCCATCATTGCATCGGTGGTGGTTCGTAGCTGGATGGTTCTCCAATTACATGGGAAGGTACATGTTGAATTTTATAGAAATCCTCTCCATCTTCCTCAATCCGACGGTGGAGTTCTCTAGACATCCATCTAATGGTTAATTCCCTGAGATTAGTAAGATATCTCAGCCCATCTGGAAGTGTCATCAATCCCATGGAATACTCGATCGTCAATCGACAGAGACTAGGCATGCCTCCTTCCTCTACCTTCCACTCTGTTATTTTGTGCATACCAAAAACATCAAGAAATTGAAGAGAAGGAAATCCTCCTTTGGAGAAAACCAGTATCTTTGTATTCTCCTCAAAAACATTTCCTAAAAGCTTCAAAATTGTTATGTTTGGCAGCTTCTCTAGTATTCCCATTTCGTCCTCCTTGAGACCACACCCATTCAATTGTAACTTGGTGAGGTTTGGATAGTTGTGGAGCTCTTTCGGTAATTCTGTGATTGGCCCTTCCAACTTCAATTTGTATATATGCCGACAGCTTGATACTATTTGCATAGCTTGCTCTTTACCACTATTCATTTTGTTCTCCACAGTTAGAGACCGGATACAGTTAAGCGCGCTACCTGTAGATTTTAAGATTTCCTCCAAATTTTGCAAAGAGCTTGACACTCTTATTTTCAGTTTTCTAAGATTGTTTAATCTAACAACATCTTTCAAATCACAATACTCACTTGAAAGGTAATATAAGGTCTGTAGATGGCTAAGAGTAGACAGCTCTAGGGTACCCTTTACTGTGTAACCAAAGGGTAAATATAAATGTCTTAATTGTTTCATCTTCATTATCACATTTGGGATGACCATGACGAAATAAATTGGAACACGAAAATCAAGAGTTTGCAGGCATACTAAATTACCTAGGGATGGCGGAAAACTTTTTATCTTGCTATTACTCACACTTAGAAATCTTAAGTGTACCATATTTCCAATTTCACTTGGCAACTCTACTTCTACTTCATCAAGACCTTCAACCTTCAAAACTCTAAGCACTTTGAAATCCTTCAACTGAGATAGTAATCCTTTTTCACTTTTTGCCATCCATTCTTCTAGGCCAAAGAATAATAGAGACCGTACGTGCCTATTTGTTTCATCTCTTGAAGAAACTAACCTATCCGCGTTCTTATCCAAGTAAATTGCATGTCTTCGAATTTTCCCCAATTGTGCTTCCTCGGCTGCCACAACAGAAGTATTTTCTTGCAAAGAATTGTTAATCTGGAGAAAGCTTTCCTCTTTTGCCTTTAACAAACACATGTCTCGTACAAGATCATGGATTCGGCAACCTTTAATTGTTCCAGTTGAACCACTTGTTCCCACTTGAACCAAACACCTTTCCACCAACTCACTTAACCAATCACGTGCTATATCCTCCATTGTTTC